GGGCAGGCAAATAACCTTCACACTGGACACTGGAGCGCAGGTGAACATTCTCCCCTATATATAGGAATTAGTCTAATGCCCAGTAATAGAATTTCAAATGGTAAAAACACAATCCAAGCTAATTATGCCAGGTTGCCAGCAAATCAATGGTATTTTTTTTTTGTTGAAAAATTGATGTTATTTAAGATTAAGCATTATCTTCCTTTTCAGATGGATTCAGTGGTCTTGGTTCCGTTTAGTGAAGACAAGTACACCAGCAAATTTGACCTACACATTAGGTCAGTGGTATACGCTTCTAGAAATTTTTCAGCGGCATGACCTCAAGAAAAAGTTTGAGCGCATGAGAAGGGAAGTTGTCATTGAAAAAGTGGATCATCCCACGGTATGGGTCAACTCGCTGGTTATTGTTTAAAAAAAAAGGCGGTGGTTTAAGGATCTGTCTTGACCCAAGAGCCTGAACACTGCCATTCAAATAGAACATTACTAATTATCCACCATTGAAGAAATATCTAGCAGACTTAGTGGCACCAAGGTTTTGACTGCGTTGGACGCAAACTTGGCCTTCTTGGCAAATTAAACTTAATAAAAATTGTACAGATCTTACAACTTTCTACACACTTTCTGGGAGTTACACGTTTATAAGAACGGTAGTTCGGACTCAATTCTTCTGCGGGACTATTAGCTAACAGATTCTTCCAGGCTTTTGAAAACATTCCAGGTGTTGAAACTGACATGGACGAAATGCTGATCTCTGGTAGAACTATAGAAGAACACGATGAAATATTGAAAGAAAGTTCTTCACCCAGCAAGAGAGAACGGTATCAAACTGAAACCACCCAAATGCTGTCTACGAGTCGCGGAAATTAAATTTGTAAATCACATCATTTCAGATAGTAGAATCAAAACTGATAACTCTAAGATTGACACAATTCAGTCTATGCCATGTCCCTCAAGTCGCAAAGATTTTGAAAGAGCTTTTTAGGAATGGGAAATTTGACCCAACTTTATCACACATAACTGCACCCCTGCGAGAGTTGATCAACCGATACCTGACAGCAAAGTTCAGTGTTAATGCGGCCCGCGTGTTTGCCCCATTCTCATATTTAATCTGCCAACCTTTCCGACTGCCAACCCTTCCGACTGCCAACCCTTCCGACTGCCAACCCTTCCGACTGCCAACCCTTCCGACTGCCAACCCTTCCGACGGCCAACCCTTCCGATTTTGCCAGAATTATACGGCTTGTCTACCCTTCATTACGACCTTCCTGCAAACGCCTTAAAATTACGATTTTCTGAACATTATTATTTTTCACCCTTCATAAAATTCCGAAGCGACAAAAAAAAATCAAAAAAAAAATCACAAAATGCATTTCGATGACGTCACTTCCTTTGTTTTAACGAAGTGTCTACATGTCCGGCGACCGGACGCATACGTTCTCGACATATTCATCCGGCTATTATAAATTCGACCAAGTCACATGACCGCTGTAACAAAGTTGCGCGAGATATTTATCCGTCAGCCTTGTCACGTGACCGCTAATGGTCGATCATTCCGGTAGCCGGACGTGTAGGCAGTGTCTTGTTTTTATCGAAGGGAACGGCGATCTCCAAATCAGTCTTCAATCATCAATTGATCCGATCGAGATTCATCTTTTTACTGGGCTAAAAAATAATTGAATTGTGTAGCTTTTATTAATTAAATGGATAAATCTATTTGAAAGGCGTGGTGGGTACAATGATATTAATAAACATATTTTAATCCCCCTAAAAACCATATACCATACAACTGCAGCTAAATCTAAAAGCAGTGAATCTACGCCATCCATGTCGAATGTCTTGGCCCTAAGGAATCGGACGTTTTATTGACCGCCTATCTTGTTGAAGGAAATCTTTCTGTAGCCAATACCGATCGTTTTTAATGCCAGAGTCAAAGAAATGTTTCCAGGATCGCAGGTTGGAAGAAGATTGTAAAGAAAAGTTACAATGAACCATGGGCAAGCATGAAAGTTGATACTCTTTCTAAATTGCTTGTAAATAAAATCAGTTGCAATGCTAACCTCCAGCTTTCCAACTGTGTTGGACAAGTACAAAAAGGCCTCAAAGGATATGCTGGAAAACTGAACTCTTTGCAGCTTGTATACATATGTAAATAAAATAAATATTTTTTTCTGTATACATCTGTATATAAACATTTCCAATAATGTTGTTCTCATGCACTGTGGACTCTTTAAAGATTATGAAGGTAACTTTATATTTCTTTATTTACTAAAAAAGGGTTGTATATTAGTATGTAGATCTTAAACCAACGCAGCCCGGGCGCCACCCCCACCCCAAGCGCACCCCCTACATATTTTTTTTCTTGGCAGGTTGGCAGTTCTGGCTGTAATGTGACCCTGCGCGACAGTTTCAGTCGAACCTCACCAACTCGTCGAATTCTGATTTTTATTACGTTTTTATAGATTTGGACGTTGATTATAAATGTAAAATTTAAAATCGGACTAAAAGTTTTTAGTTATAGCATTTTTTGAGACAAACTGACTTAAGCCAAAGCTAGATTTTGATCACAGATTTTACAGTTTTGCAGACTTTAAAATACCCAGAGACACTTTTCAAATTTTTGCTGAATCTTTCTCCCTCAATGGGGAAGATATCTCTCCCACCCCCACCATATTTTTTTTGCGGTTTAAATGGAGCTGATTGATCTTCAATGCAATTCCGAACTCAATTCTAAGTTCATGGAGGTGAATGGAACAACAGACAAGCTTGGACAATTTATGAGAACATTGCCCTCCACCTTCCTTAAGTTCCAGGTTTTTTTCAAGCATATCAAGTCAAAGTACAAGGTCAAACTTACTTATGAGCATCTTGAACCTATACTGAGGGTCTCAGTTGCTTCCTAACTCAAGCCAAATATTAGCTGTGTTAGAAGAAGCGCTGGCAGGTCTCTGGCAACAAGGACTGGGAGGAAGAAAGTGAAGCCTAGTTCTTGAGAACCCTTAATGTTTTTATAATAAATGTTGCGCAGATTGTAACAGTTGTACTTTATTGAATTTGTGATGTTTTTGTGTGTGTGTGTGTTATACATGATGCGGCCCAGTCTCACTCAGATTTTATCTCCTGCGGCCCTCGGATACTTTGAGTTTGAGACCCCCTGCTTTAGAACTAAATTTAGTACTTCATCAAGAAAAGGTGACTTTTCAGCTAACAAGTTTTCCCAGTAAATAACACAATGCACAAGAAGCATTTCTGGATTATCATCATTCATCACTTTTAAGCAGCCAGATTTCTTGCACATCATATTAGGTTAGGAGCACCATCTGTAGCACAAACTATTAGATTTTTCATTTGTATAATATTGACATCTAAGTATTTTTTATGTTATTATATCAATCTTTGGCAGTAGTTGTACATACTGATGGTTTACAGAACCAAATTTCTCCAGCTAAATCTCCTTTATCTCCTTTATCTCCTTTATCTCCTTTATCTCCTTTATCTCCTTTATCTCCTTTATCTCATTTATCTCATATTTCTCCTTTATCTCCTTTATCTCCTTTATCTCCTTTATCTCCTTTATCTCCTTTATCTCCTTTATCTCCTTTATCTCCTTTATCTCCTTTATCTCCTTTATCTCCTTTATCTCCTTTATCTCTTTTATCTCCTTTATCTCGTTTATCTCCTTTATCTCCTTTATCTCCTTTATCTCCTTTATCTCCTTTATCTTATTTATCTCTTTTATCTCCTTTATCTCGTTTATCTCCTTTATCTCCTTTATCTCATTTATCTCCTTTATCTCCTTTATCGCCTTTATCTCCTTAATCTCCTTTATCTCCTTTATCTCCTTTATCTCCTTAATCTCCTTTATCTCATTTATCTCCTTTATCTCCTTTATCTCATTTATCTCCTTTATCTCCTTTATCTCCTTTATCTCCTTTATCTCCTTTATCTCCTTTATCTCCTTTATCTCCTTTATCTCCTTTATCTCCTTTACCTCCTTTATCTCCTTTATCACCTTTATCTCATTTATCTCCTTTACCTCCTTTATCTCCTTTATCACCTTTATCTCATTTATCTCATTTATCTCCTTTATCTCCTTTATCTCCTTTATCTCCTTTATCTCCTTTATCTCCTTTATCTCCTTTATCTCCTTTATCTCCTTTATCTCCTTTATCTCATTTATCTCCTTTATCTCCTTTATCTCCTTTATCTCCTTTATCCCATTTATCTAATTTATCTCCTTTATCTCCTTTATCTCCTTTATCTCCATTATCTCCTTTATCTCCTTTATCTCATTTATCTCCTTTATCTCCTTTATTTCCTTTAACTCCTTTATCTCCTTTATCTCCTTTATCTCCTTTATCTCCTTTATCTCCTTTATATCCTTTATCTCCATATCTCCTTTATCTCCTTTATCTCCTTTATCTCCTTTATCTCCTTTATCTCCTTTATCTCCTTTATCTCCTTTATCTCATTTATCTCCTTTATCTCATTTATCTCATTTATCTCATTTATCTCCTTATCTCCACTCCTTTATCTCCTTTATCTCCTTTATCTCCTTTATCTCCTTTATCTCCTTTATCTCCTTTATCTCCTTTATCTCCTTTATCTCATTTATCTCCTTTATCTCCTTTATCTCCTTTATCTCCTTTATCTCATTTATCTCCTTTATCTCCTTTATCTCATTTATCTCCTTTATCTCCTTTATCTCCTTTATCTCCTTTATCTCCTTTATCGCCTTTATCGCCTTTATCTCCTTTATCTCCTTTATCTCCTTTATCTCCTTTATCTCCTTTATCTTCTTTATCTCATTTATCTCCTTTATCTCCTTTATCTCCTTTATCTCCTTTATCTCCTTTATCTCCTTTATCTCCTTTATCTCCTGTATCTCCTTTATCTCCTTTATCTCCTTTATCTCATTTATCTCCTTTATCTCCTTTATCTCTTTGTCTGAGGTAAGTTATCAGTAGGTCCCACGCTGTCTCTCAAAATTAATTTTCTTATTTTCATTCCAATTTTTTTCTCAGCTTTTCAACATGTTGTATTTCAATATCTTTACTCATTTCGTCTATTCTATTGCTAACAGTATTGTTACTGACTGGAATAGCTTTCACGTCTTTGTTATCTTTTGCTATGAATGTTTTAAGAAATAATGATATTGGTGGTTTGATTAAATTCTCTCTTATAGTGATGTTTCCTAGATTTAGTAATGCCTAAAGAAATTTCATAACTACGATTCAGCAGTAGACAGACAAGAGTATGATTGACAGTTGCATTATGAGCAGTAGACAGACAAGAGTACTATTGACAGTTGCAATATGAGTAGTAAAAAGAGAAATTAAGGCTGTTCCTTTTTTAATTTTTTTTTCTTTCAAGTTTGAAAGCACTATGTATGGCCTTCAAATGAGCCCCAAGATGACCTCGTTTCATTGATTTGTTGGTCAAGCATTGTTGACATAAAAGACAAAAAGGTGACCGCTCAACATGGACACAGGGTATTAATACATATTTGAAATTTTCCTCAGAATATTGACACATTGTTTTGCCTGCACTACTCATTTTACTGAAAGAAAATTACCAAGAAAATAAAATAAATGGAAAAGAAATATTGTTAAAAAAGTAATACATTAAAAGAAAAAAATGTACCACTTAATATGCACACTTAATATGCACACTTAATATGCACACGTAATATGCACACTTAATATGCACACTTAATATGCACACTTAATATGCACACTTAATATGCACACTTAATATGCACACTTAATATGCACACTTAATTTGTTACTACTAAACATAAAAAAACAACAACAAATGCACCCGTTTTAATTCTAATTATTTGCCAGATAAGACTATTTTTAAAATCCTCAGATTTTTTTAACAGAACTTTTAAGGAATGCTTATTATTTTTATTTTTCCATATTTGAGGGCCCACGATCAATTTATTGATCATTTTGGCTCCTTGTTTGAATTCAGAGTTAGCCTCCTCCAAGGCTAACGAGTCTCATCCACAGTGTTCGATTGGGCTGCTGGCTGGAATTGAGGTCCAGAACGCCAACTTCAGATTTTGCTCAGTTTAGACCACTCGGGCACCCAGCACCTAACGATTCTCCTCTTAGAAAACAAGTTAAATCATAGGAGATAATTGGTTTTCAAATATAGACGGATCTTCCCCCCCCCCCTCTTTTTTTCCCTCATATAATTGCTCTATGTGGGGCGTGGGCCACAAGTTGGGAACCCCTGGCCTAAACTTGGCAAACATTCACACAACGACGCTGTTAACGAGGTTTTTTTGAATTTTTTTTTAGGATTAACGAAAGGACATCTGTATCTGGACATCTGTATCTGGACATCTGTATCTGGAGATCTGTATCTGGACATCTGTATCTGGACATCTGTATCTGGACATCTGTATCTGGACATCTGTATCTGGACATCTGTATCTGGACATTTGTATCTGGACATCTGTATCTGGACATCTGTATCTGGACATCTGTATCTGGACATCTGTATCTGGACATCTGTATCTGGACATCTGTATCTGGACATCTGTATCTGGACATCTGTATCTGGACATCTGTATCTGGACATCTGTATCTGGACATCTGTATCTGGACATCTGTATCTGGACATCTGTATCTGGACATCTGTATCTGGACATCTGTATCTGGACATCTGTATCTGGGCATCTGTATCTGGGCATCTGTATCTGGACATCTGTATCTGGACATCTGTATCTGGACATCTGTATCTGGACATCTGTATCTGGACATCTGTATCTGGACATCTGTATCTGGACATCTGTATCTGGACATTTGTATCTGGACATTTGTATCTGGACATCTGTATCTGGACATCTGTATCTGGAATCTGTATCTGGACATCTGTATCTGGACATTTGTATCTGGACATCTGTATCTGGACATCTGCCTCTGGAAATCTGTATCTGGACATCTGTATCTGGACATATGTATCTGGACATCTGTATCTGGACATCTGTATCTACCAGTCTATGAGATCATCGTGACACGAGTCTTCTGATGCTTGACCATGAATGAGTATAAACATTTGTACCATGGATAAACATAAAGAGTTGTACCAACAATAACATGAAGAGTTGTACAATCAAAAAACATTAAGAATTGTACTATCAATAAACATGAAGAGTTGAACCATATATAAACATGAAGAGTTGAACAATGGATAAACATGAAGAGTTGTATCATGGATAAAAACGAAGAGTAGTATCATGGATAAACATGAAGAGTTGTACCATGGATAAACACGAAGAGTTGTACCATGGATAAACACGGAGTTGTATCATGGATAAACATGAAGAGTTGTATCATGGATAAACATGAAGAGTTTACCATGGATAAACTCGAAGAGTTGTACCATGGATAAACACGAAGAGCTGTACCATGGATAAACACGAAGAGTTGTACCATGGATAAACATGAAGAGTTGTACCATGGATAAGCACGAAGAGTTGTATCATGGATAAACATAAAGAGTTGTACATGGATAAACATGAAGAGTTGTACCATGGATAAACATGAAGAGTTGTATCATGGATAAAGAGTTGTATCTTGGATAAACATGAGGAGTTGTATCATGGATAAACATGAAGAGTTGTATCATGGATAAACATGAAGAGTTGTATCATGGATAAGTATGAAGATTTGAACAATCAATAAACATAAAGAGTTGTACCATGGATAAACACGAAGAGTTGTATCATGGATATACATGAAAAGTTGTACCATGGATTAACATGAAGAGTTGTATCATGGATAAACATGAAGAGTTGTATCATGGATAAACATGAAGAGTTGTATCATGGATAAACATGAAGAGTTGTATCATGGATAAGTATGAAGATTTGAAGAATCGATAAACATAAAGAGTTGTACCATGGATAAACACGAAGAGTTGTATCATGGATAAACATGAAGAGTTGTATCATGGATAAGTATGAAGATTTGAAGAATCGATAAACATAAAGAGTTGTACCATGGATAAACACGAAAAGTTGTATCATGGATAAACATGAAGAGTTGTACCATGGATAAACATGAAGAGTTGTATCATGGATAAACACGAAAAGTTGTATCATGGATAAACATGAAGAGTTGTACCATGGATAAACATGAAGAGTTGTATCATGGATAAACACGAAGAGTTGTATCATGGATAAACATGAAGAGTTGTATCATGGATAAGTATGAAGATTTGAAGAATCGATAAACATAAAGAGTTGTACCATGGATAAACACGAAAAGTTGTATCATGGATAAACATGAAGAGTTGTACCATGGATAAACATGAAGAGTTGTATCATGGATAAACACGAAGAGTTGTATCATGGATAAACATGAAGAGTTGTATCATGGATAAACACGAAGAGTTGTATCATGGATAAACATGAAGAGTTGTATCATGGATAAACATGAAGAGTTGTATCATGGATAAGTATGAAGATTTGAACAATCAATAAACATAAAGAGTTGTATCATGGATAAACACAAAGAGTTGTATCATGGATAAACATGAAGAGTTGTACCATGGATAAACATGAAGAGTTGTATCATGGATAAACATGAAGAGTTGTACAATGGATAAACATGAAGAGTTGTACCATGGATAAGTATGAAGATTTGAACAATCAATAAACATAAAGAGTTGTATCATGGATATACATAAAGTGCTCTACCTTGGATAATACAGATGACACTGTATAACACCAATGTACTGATGACACTGCATAACACAAATGTACAGATGACACTGCATAACACCAATGTACAGATGACACTGCATAACACCAATGCACAGAGGACACTGCATAACACCAATGTACAGAGGACACTGCATAACACCAATGTACAGAGGACACTGCATAACACCAATGTACAGAGGACACTGCATAACACCAATGTACGGATGACACTGTATAACACCAATGTACAGAGGATACTGCATAACACCAATGTACAGAGGACACTGCATAACACCAATGTACATATGACTCTGCATAACCCCAATGTACAGAGGACACTGCATAACACCAATGTACAGAGGACACTGCATAACACCAATGTACAGAGGACACTGCATAACACCAATGTACAGAGGACACTGCATAACACCAATGTACAGAGGACACTGCATAACACCAATGTACAGAGGACACTGCATAACACCAATGTACAGAGGACACTGCATAACACCAATTATCGGAGGACACTGCATAACACCAATGTACGGAGGACACTGCATGTTTGCACCGAGAAAAAAAAAGAATGTTCTATACCGATGTGTGACGTCAATAGATAATCTCAAATACCAAAGGAGATTTAACGCCTTCACATCTGCCGCTCATGTCGATCCAGCTGACAAAATTTGGAAGATGGCATGGAAAGGTATCATAACATTTTCTGATCAGAGGCGGATACACATTTGAAAGAGCAAAAAAAAAAACAACAACAAAAACAAAAACAAAAAACAAAAAAACAACGAAAAAAAGAACCACAAAACTTAATGAAGGCAATGTTAATAAATGTTAATATCCAAAAATTAAAAGAAAAAAAATGGTGGCTATGGTTTACGTTTATTTTTGAAGTTATTTTATTTAGGTATGTTTGGGGACAGGAAAAAAATAGGTGGGGGTGGGTGGAGGATTTCCAAAATGATCATTTCTGAATCGCCCCTGTACTAAGCTGATACATTTTAGAATCGAAATCTGGGTTTAAATCGCACTGTATCAAATTTAGTAAATACATTAAAAAAATTAAAACTTGTGCTTGAATTTGACCACATGAAGTTTTTGGAGTGACGTATTGGAAATAGATACACGTGAGCGATTCTATGGGCAGGTCACTAAGTTGTTGTTGAATAAGTTTAAAGGCGTGTCACCCTGAGATGTAAGGCTCACCAGAGCAGCTTTCAGTTTCTTAGAGTGACTCGACTTGAACGTTCATCACTGGTAGTGTTTCACAGGAAGAGATAAGTCAGCTTTGGTTTGGTGGAGCTTTCAATCATTTTTATTGGTGCGTTTTGGCGTGACCTTTTTGGCGTTCATGTTTCTTGGTAACTGAATGAGAGCAATGGTGTGTTTAGATATACTGACACTGATTTCTTAATGAGAGCAATAGTG